TTTATATGTAACATTTAAAACTTAAGGGATTTGTAAAAATTTTTTTTGTAGTAAAGTTTAAAATAGTACTATATTACATAATTTTGATAACATAAGTGTTTTTCTATATAAATTTTTTTTTTTGGAATATCCATGCGCATTGGAGAAGTTTTTAATATATTTATTATGAGTCGTTAAGAAACAAGCTATTAATTCTTTAATATATCTTCAAATGAATTCAACAAATAATATTCTATTTAATTGATATATTTTTTGAAAGATTAATTATAATATATATTTTTTTATAAAGGAAACATCTATATATAAATTTAATACAATCTATGTTTTATCATTTATATAAACAAAAGCTTCTTCACTGATATTTTATTTTTTATATATAATAATTTAAAAAAATTTTAAATTTATAAATATCATATATTTAATTTTTAGTAACAATAAGATTTTGAATATTTTTAATGAGTTACTATGGTTTTTTTGAATCTGTGTATATTCCTAGACATGAATTATTGGGAAAAACGTGATATATGAAAGGGGCTATATATAAATATATTTATATATAGTTTGTACTGGTTTGGAGATAACCGAATACAAAAAATATGTTCAACTTGTTTTTATATGATTATGAGAATGTACAGTACATAAAATAAGTTTTTTTTTTATAGGTACATAATTTTATATTGTAAAAAGGTAAAAGGCAATATATTAAAAGGCTTAACTTGTTCTATGAAAAAACTTATTTCACATAATATAAGTATTAGAAGATCAAGCACAATAGCTAATGAAGATAATAACATATAAAATGTTATAAATTATACTTTTTTATTTTTTATTTCATAAATACTTTCATTATAATAATAATACCTATATTGCTTTGGAATTATGAACACACATTATTCATGCTGAACTAAATAACGAGATCATATTTTATAACTTATGGACAAGGTATTTCAAAAATATAGTTAATAACCTTTATAAAATAATATTATATATAAATTACAGAGATATTTATTCTGTATTCAACGATAGAAATTTACATGTCATAAATGCTGTAAATTATTAAAAAAGAGAGAATACAAATTAAATATAACGTGTGATTATAATTTTGTAAATATATTTTTAATCTAATTTAATATGGATGATTTTATAATTTATGTCACAAAATAAAAAATTTTATATTTCCTTGATTTATCCAAATTAAACAATACAAGAATCTGAAGTTGAACTTAAAATATAAGTGATTATACATCGTTGTTTATATTTTTTTTGTTATTGTATTTTTGTAGTTTAAAATATTATCTTTAAGAAAAATTATTGAGTATAATAATATTCATAACGTATACTTTTATGTGAATAAAAGAATTTTAGTGTTTTTTAATGTTTGTCATGTTTGTATGTGCACAAAATAAACACGTATTTAATATATGGAAATATTTGTTCTTACAAAAACTTATATAAAATTCATTTTTATATTTGTCAATAATATTGCATATATATGTACTGAAATACTTATTCTTTCTTAGTTATACATATTATCTATAGACAGATGATAGTGGTATAAATATATTATTTTTGTTTTTACATAATATGAAATTCTAACATACCTTATAATTTTCTTCATCAGAAGAAACATTTTTATTTTTTCATATTAGGTACACATTTTTACAACCATCATACATTTATAAAAAGTAGTTACTTCTTAACACATCTCATATTATTGGATTTATTAAAAAATACTTTTTTTTATTATAATGATGATTTATTAAATTTTTTATTTTTAAATAAAACCTGGAAGCCATGTTTTTGGTAATACTTACCTATTACCCAATCACCAATTTGCAAAAATTATTAATCAGTACTTTTCAGAATATAAATATATATGAACTAGTCACTTTTAAATTTATTTAACATATGCATATAAGTAAATTCTTGAATTCAGTAACTACTAGAGAATTGTTATTGTAATTGTTTTTAAATCTGAGAAAGCGTGTATATTATATTGTAAGAAAATTTATTTTGTAACCTTTTATGTATTAATACATATATCCGATATATTTTTTATTTTATCATTGTAGATAGAACTTGAAATATTATAACTGTCTATAGTGGTATTTTTAAATATTTTTTTTGATATTATTAAGTACACATAAAACAAATCTATCAATAAAAGGATCGATATTATGCTACATAAAAATAATATAGTTTTAGATAAGTTTATCATTTCTGCAATGCATAATTTTCTAAATTTAAACATTGAAAAATTATCGTATTGTTATACAGCGGTTTCATCCTTTTTTTCATAGAACTGTTATAAGTATATACAAGTACAATAAGATCTAAATCCACATGTGGAAAAAATAATTATTAAATAGGGAAAATACAATGGAATACAACATTATAAATATTTTTTTACTTAACATACTTGTAGTATATATATGTACATACATTTAAGAGAAATAAAAATGTGAACTATATATATATGAATAAGAAGAAAATTTACATATATATAAAAGAAAAATAATTCTAATTGTAAACAATGGTGAACATTGAAAAATAGTTTATGAAATGGTATATCAAAGAAATAACTCTAATTATATTTAATATATTTTAAATATATAAATACAATATTAATCCTATGCTAATTATTACAGCTATTTTGTTATTATTATGAGAATTTATTTTATAATTATTATAAATCATTTTATATTAATTAGAATATTACATAAGTAACATATTATATTAAATATCATTGCACCATTAATTATATAATTATTAGTGTTCCATAATATTTTATCACAGTTATGCTTTTTGATATAGAAGCAATGTTATAAAAAAAATAAAAATATAATTTGTACCGTTTAAGGATTATTTCATCGTATAATTAATAAATAATATATCTGTTAATTTGAAGTGTTATTTAAAAATGTAAGAAAATTCTATTAGCTTATTACCCTATATTATATTAACTGCAACATTGTATGCAAAAAAATTTGAATATAATTAAATTCTTCTTAATAATAATATTACATAGAATGTACTACATTGAATTATATAAAAGAATATGAAAATTGAATATATAACTAATATATATTTTTATCAGATGATAATTTAATTCTTATTGATATATGAAAATAATGTAGATTATATATTTGCAAAAATTAATATATCATTCTATTTTTATATTTATAACAATTATTCATTAAAGAGAACAATGTTATATATAATTTACCACACAGAAAATTTTTTACGAGGATCTTATTATAATTTCATTATTAAGGATAGTGAGTATATATGTTTATTTACTTATATAATATATAGACATTCTTTTATCATTATTACAATTAATTCAACATTACAAATACAATTTATACATGTTAAAAATATTTTTATTTATTACACAAATTATGTATATAATGTAATATTTTATTTAAGATAGGATAATTTTGTATTGTTATTATGGCTCATGTGAATGAAATATATATAATTCTCTTAGATAATATTCTGCATTATATGACTTATTCTAAAGGAGCTAATAAAAATTATATGTTTTTATAGAATTCGCATAATACCATAATTGTAATGTGCTCAAACTTCATTTCACGTTTTATAATTTACATATAATGAAATTATTCTCTAAAAAAATAATATATGTATTATAGTTACCATTATGAATTATAGTCAGAAAAATTTATTTCATATTTACTTATATAATGAGTTTTCAATTTTTTTGAGCAAGTTATATAAATTATAATATAATTTCTTGTGTTATTAATTTTCTTATATAATTAAATTTTATTTATTTATATAATTGATAAAAGATATTGAATATTCATGTAGTTTTTTATTTCCTATTCGAAATATTACACTTGTGATATTGGAAATATTGATTTCTAAAAGAAATAATAAGAATGAAATATTAGATTTGTAAGAAATCATAAAAAATGTAATAAATTCATTAATAATCCCAAACATAAAAGTAAAAGAAATATGTTATATTATTTATTTTATAAAAAATTAAAATATTATTTTCTAAATAATTTATATATCACTACAAATTAATAATTACTAAAAATATGTTACAAGATAACATACAATATAAATAGAAATTAATATTAAATATAATATATTTACAGAGGTATATAAAAAAATATCTTTCTATATAATTGCTAGACACTATTAAAAATAGCATAAATAAAAATTTTGGAAAAATATAATTTTCTTAATTATTGTAAAATAATAAAAATAATAACTTCCAACACTATATATAATCTTTATAAATATTGTATTATTACTTTTGTGCTCGTTTATAATGTTTGTACATATAAAAGAAAAAACATTAAGTGAATTAAAGTGAACACAAATATTAAGAATAGTTGTTTATTTTATTTATTGTTTTTGCCTTTATATATATATTTTATTAATTTACAATATGTCTTATAACAGTATTAAATACTTTACATTATAAAATTATATATATCATTGTGGTAATGTTATTAATGTACATATGTAATATTATAAAGTATAATATATCTCATGAAGTTCCAATTTATATGTAGCAATAATATATATATTGAGTATTTTTACGTGCATACTTATATATATTTCCTAAAAATCTTCTAAACAACCTGAAACCTAAAACGATATTTCATTTAATTTATTATACCTTGTGATTATTTTATTATAGTTGTGTTTCATATATTATAACATAAATATATATTTATTGTTATTTAGTATTCGTATTAAATTTCAACAATATATATATTTTTTGTCTTTTGTGCATTTACAAAAAAGAATGATACCATTATGCAATAATAAGCATGATAGGGCCATTAAATACATTAATAATTCAAAAAAAAAATAGAATATCAATATTTGCTTATTAATTTATATTTATAGGAAATATAACATATATAATTAATAATGTAATTATTCTTATATTTTTAACATAGTATTTTATAACATATAATTATTAAAACATTTTTTTATCAAGTAATATACATATAATGTCAGGAGGAAAAAATATGTCGCAATATGTATGTTTCTATTTTTATTAAAATTATGCTATTTTTAAAATCCAATAAAAAAATATATTTATATACATATAATTTAATTATTTTATAAATATTATGATTTTTATTTCAGTCATTTCTTGAAGATATATTTCCTACATGCGCTGATGATTATAATTCAGCTACTACAAATGGGGTTTCTGAAAGTTTGGATGAAAGATTCACTAGTATGTGTAAACAAATCCGTGATTCTATAGTGCCTAATGAATTAAGTGAGAGTGAAAAAAAATTATTTGATTTAGGTTGCCTTGATATTTTAGTCTATTTAGATCGTATCAAAAATATAATTACTGAACAGGGTGATACAGAAACTTATGTTAATTTAAGTTGTAATTATTTCTTTTACAAACTGAAATTTCTTATGAATTCATGTAAACTTAAATGTAGCACAATAAACACTTGTTATGAAGAAATGAGAAAAATTATGAATGGTAAACCTGATTATGAACATGCTTTTGATGTATGTGTGAATAAAGATATATACCAGGGAATCCTTAATGAAAATATATTTGGAATGATGACATATATTGATTTTGCATTTTATTCACTTTATCTTTTAAAAAGAAAAACAGAATATAGTAACATACAGAAGGCAACGCATTTAAGTAATATTAAGACACTTTTATCAAAATTTAAAAGAGATGGTAATGTTTCCAGTTCGATTATTCAAATGATACAGCTTGATTACGATAGAATTATCCAGGAAACGAGAACACAATTGGATAATACAGATTATCAAATATCTCAGAATATGTACGGCACAAAATCAGTACAAGTCATGGGAAATGAATTACCAGAAATGATAGTAATTGAGGAGGATAATGCCATAAGTAAAGAAATAATTACAACATTAATTGTTTCAATATTTGCAATAATGATAATTATATTCATAGGATATAAGGTTAAAATAAGTTTTACATATCAAATATATATTGTCACAATGTATAATACGTACAATTTTGAAATTCTTATATTAAACAATTGACATATTCTTAAATACATAATTTTTTTTTTAACAGTACAGAGCTCACATACCATTTTTAAAACAAAAAGCAAAGAATATAATGAAGATGAAGAATAAACAAAATGAGAATATTAACTCATTTGCTACACTTGAAGGAATATACAATTATTCAATTGATAATAAATATAGTCTATCATATAGCTTATAAGTATGTTAATATACATGTAATAACATGTAATATAGTTGACTAATTTTTTTTATAAGTACAATAAAATATATTATCCTAATGTGATAAATATGAAAAAAAACGTTGAGCGTTCAAACATAAGTTTAATTATTCGAAATATTCTGTTCGAACTTCAGGGTTTTTATTTTTTTGTAATGAGTCAATTGTACATATTAGTGTGTGCCATAAGGGTATAATAGTTTTACATAATTATTATACTGCGTTAATAATTAGTTGACTATTTCTTATAAGTTATATAATATTATTATACATATTATTTTCCATTTCCTGTATATTCTACTATATTTTTATATTTTATACTATTATTTTTATAGAAAATATAATTTATGTTTTATTTTAAATATATATAATGTATGTTTTTAAATTATTTTTATAGTATTTTTTATAATGATTAAATAATTATTGTAATTATAAAATTAATATGTATAATAGTTGTTATATATATTAGAATTTTATTCTTAATGAAACAGATTAAACACGTTATAACTAATATATTTAATTTTATACAGTTCAAATAATATATAAGATTGGAAAAGTTATTTTAATAAATATAATAACATCCAATTTAATAGTATATAATTTGGTTACATAAATTTATTATGTACATATTTATTTACTTTTTATTTATTTCTTTTTATAATTTATACATGAATGCTCTTTTTTTTTGTTTTAATTATGCTAAAAAAAAAATACATGTTACTAATAGAGAATATGGTATTTTATATTATGTGGAAAAAAATAACAATCAATAGTGTTTATAAATACTTACAATACTATTAGACTTAACATAATAATAGGAAAAAAACACTATAACTTATGTCCATATTTTAAATGATATACTTCTGAATTTTATATATTTCAATTCTTATATTTTTGTTACATATATGTGCATCTTTATAATATATATCTCCAATATGCTTAAAAGAGATATACAATATTAATATATTAATATACTTTAAAGCATTATAATATGTGTATATTTAAACCCTTATATATTTTATCATCATTTTTTCAAAAATATAGCAATATATGACATGCTATAATTTTTCTATTTTATTATGTGTTTATATATTCATTATAATTGTGTAATTTATTGAAAAATATATTAAATATTATTTTGACACTAAATTAGTTTTTTAATTTTTAATAAAAAATAATGTATTTTCGAAGTTTGTGAATTATTATATAGCTAAAATTCTAATGGATATAATATATCTTCAGAACATGCAGAGGTTCGATTTATATTAAAAACTATATAACCTAATTGCATATAATTATATTAATGATCATATAATTACATTAAAATAATGATTTATAATATCTATTTCAAAACATTCATCTATGCTTTCTTCTAGGAACATAATAATTCTGTTGAAAAATGCATTTGAAACGATTATATGAAAATAATTTTTACTGAGGATTAAATAAGGAAACTCAAAGAATTATATGATATATTCTTGATAGATAATATTTCAGGTGACAATAATATATGCACTAGGAAATACAGATTTAACTGTGCTAAGAGATGTTTGATATATATGTATAATATAAAGTGTGAAATAAATTAATAAGAAACATGATTTTTATAACACATTAGATCATATTAGATATAAAAGGATAAAAGAATTATATAGTGTTGCAAATCATTTTCCAATATTAGCTTATTTTTAAAGAAATAATATATGTTACCTTACTTTAATTATAATCATTATAATAATAAAAAATTATTTTTTGTTATTTATTTTGTATAAGTATATTATTAATATTATATATATATATTTATAATTAATACACCTTTTTCGACTTTACATGGTCAAAACAAAATAACATTTTAAATAATTCCTTTTTCATATGTATTATATGTTCTGTTTATGTTATTTATTGTAAAATAGAAGTATCTAATATAAGTAGCCTTAGTTCTTATATATTATATTGTTGATAGAATAATATATAAATTGGTATTCTTGTTAAATTTTAATTTGTTATAAATTCAAAAAACTATTTTTTATTATAATATGCAAAAAATTATTTCTATATACATAATAAGGTTAAAAAACTAATATTATTATAACACGAAGAAAATTAGGAAATTTGCACCTATTTATTGTTACAGATAAATAGTATTTACATTATATCCTATAATAATGAAAGATAGGTAAATTATGTTATTTTTAATTAATATAAATTTTAAGTCATTACATATTTAACTTAGTAATTATTTATGATTTTGTTATCATATTTTATACTAAGTAAATTACCATTTCAAAGTAAATATATTTTTATAAATATTAAGTAAAGCATAAAATATGGTAATATTATTTCTCATATTATCTAGTTTTTAGCATATTAATACTTAAAGATAAATCTAATTAATAAAGTATTCATGAAAAATTACATATGTGAAAAAAAAATTTTATTCTTTATATTGTAATAGAAATGTCAAATATAAATTTTCTAATACCTATTACTGACTAATAATAATATAGAATGAAAAAACTAATTTACTTTTTCTGAGTATAATTTCCTCTTTCATATTTTGTAAATTAAATTTTAACTAAAATAATTTACAATAAAAGTGTAATTATAGAATTATTATGATATAGCTAAATATTTGTTTGAATAAACGCTTATAAATGAAATAAACAAATTTTCAATATAGTAAAATTGTTGTTTTATAACAATTAAACATCATATTATTAGTTTCATTACATGTCAGGACAAGTATTGTAATATTTTAGTTATAAATTTTACATAAAAGTAATATATATAATTATTGAAACTTATATTATATATATGTATTCTAATAATATTATATATCTGTGCTTATAATGTGTACATATATTAAATAAACTGGATTTAATATAAATAAATATGTTTATCCTCTTAAAACTATTACATATCATATATTAACATAATATTCAATATAATGCTATATCATTCTAATGTAATATATTGTATCAAATATAAGAATATATAGAATTTAGACGACTTACCGTATGAAAATATAAATATTTATTTTTTTTTAGTCTGCAATTAAAAAATTACTAAAAAATAAGCATTGATTTTTTTGTATATATTATCTAAGCATAAATCGTTCAACACTAAATGTTATATGTACTCGTCCCGTAACTATGTCTATTGATATATATTTTATATAATAAAAAAAAATATATAGAGATGAAAATTTTATAATATAATTATTGATTGTATGAATTTATATTTTTCAATTTATTGTTAAGTATAACACTTTTTTTATAAAATTATATACATTTAACTATATTATAAGAATGAATATAAAGTTTTAATATATCTATATTATTTCATCATTGTAAAATTGCGTTCCATATTATATATTTTTATATAATAATATATTCTTATTTTCCAGGACATATATTACACTATACTTTTAGCATATATGAATAGATAATTAAAAAAATATTTTTTGAATAAATTTCATTAATTCATATAAATAATAACATTTAATATATGTTATTACAATTATATTTGTTATGATATTATTAACACACATAAATTGATTATAAAAAAAAAAAATAATACTTTTTTTTTTTTGATTAACATATATAAATCGATATGACTGATGTTTTAAGTGAGAAAAATAATGTATGTATACTACTGTTATAGTTGCGATTAATTTTACATAACTTAAAAAAAATATATATATCACTGAAAACGAAGCAAAAAATATATATTTAAAAATTTAATTTATATAATTGTATATTTTTTTAAATTCATTCTTAGTTCGATTTTGCTGATATATATCCGAATTGTAGAAATATTTTTAATTGATATAATTAGCATTCACACCGTGACCACTTATATAGCGGTTATTCTGCAGTGTGTAATAATTTTTATATAAATATACAGATTAAGGGATGTTGGCAGCAGAATTTTCAACAAAAATTTTGTATACCTCTAGGTTTTTATTTAAATCATATAGAACAAAATAAATCAAATAAAGACTTTAATGTTCAGGCAAACTGTAGATATTTCTATTACAAACTAAGAGATTTAGTGAAAAAATGTAAAGGTAATTGCATTAATAATAAAAATTGTTACGATGTTTTTAGGGATGTATGGAAGAGACGTACACGGCTAATAAATGTTCCAGATATATGTAAGGAAGTTGTTAAGGACATGTGCATTATTGAAGAAGCTTTATCTGATGTATTTTATTATTTGGATGAACTATATCGTACTCTTAATGAATTGAAGAGAAATCGTAATTCATGTGAACATTATAAAGACAAATGCGAAGAACATATTGGGAGATTAAGGAATTGTGATTTTAGTGGTAACTTAAGTTTAATGAAAGTAATTGAGAAATTTGAAAAGGAATATTATAGGGAATGTCCTATGCCAGTCGTACCTGTAACCATACAATATCCAAATCCGGACATATTAATAAATGGAAAAAAAAAAGCCACAAGTCCTGGAGTAATGATCGATACGTTGACAGGAACAGTGGAAGAAGCAACTACAAATGCATTGAACAGCACTTTGACAGGCAAAGGAACAGGAGTGATTGTTTTACCATTTATAATGTTAACAATTGTATTCGTGCTTTATAAGGTTATATATAAGTTAAGTACATTAAATTAAAGTTGATTCAAATATTATAATACATATACGTATGATAAAAACATTAAATTTAAATATTTTATATATAGTCAAAAAATAGTATTTCTTTATTATCAGTACACTAGGTATGGTTCACTTCTACAACTAGGTGTAAAGGCGTTAAAGTGTATGCTTAAAAAAAAAAAAGTAAAAGACCTAATGACTTAATGAACTCATTTGAAAAGACATACAAAAATTCGGTGGATAAGAAGTATGAAATAGCTTATTCCTCAGAGTACTATTAGTAAGATATATTTAGGATAATTAGTGATACTATGTAATATATTAAATGGATAAAAAATAAGTGGCTTCTATACTAATGTAAGACAAATGATAATTATATAAACATATATATTTTAAAGAAGAGGGAAATAAATAAAAAGCACTTATATTTATTTGATTTAAAACAGTAAATAAAGTAACAATATGTAAATATTTCAGTGTAATCTGCATTATATAATGTTGTTATATAAATATATGGAATATTAATATTATATAAAATCCTTAATTTTATGGAATAATAAAATAAAAAACGTACAAAAAATATAAATAGAATTAGTATATTAATATATTCCCAAAACAGCATTAGTGAAATGTAAAATTATTTTATATCTAATAAAATGATGAACATTATATAATAATATAATAAAATAAATACATTGTTAAACAATCATTCATGTAGAATAATGGAATTATAAAAACTGGAATACCATATTAAATAAAGATGAATCATTTTATAATTATGTATTAAAGAACCATATTTTATATTATAATGGCTTAAAAGATTTAGAATTCAGGTTTCATAATTTATTCTAGAACATGTAATGTTTGTCTAATAATGAATGTTGAATATATTATTATGTTCATAGCTATCAGATCATCAAGATACTATATGATACACATATTGTATTTTTACAAAATTATGACATTTTTTTTACCTCATATATTTTAAGTGAAAATAATTTGAATCATTATAATTGAAATTGATTTATATGGTGTAGAATATATATTTTTTGCTTTTTATATTACATGTCATATTAATTACATGTATTTTACATATATGTTGTCTTAGATATATTAATCATACAGAGTAGTACATGAATATAATTCATATATATAATTATTTATTATATTATTTTAAAACGTTAATATTATATAATTTTTATATTATTAATGGATATATTTTTATTTCTATTTAATAAATTATATATAATATTGTAAATGATATCTGAAATTTTTTTATATACCTTTTTATTACTTCCATTTTGCTCTGTATATAAGATTAATTTATAATATATTAGTCGGTTATTCATTTTAAAAAATAATGTAATAAAAATGTAGAGGAACTTAGTACAAAAAAATTATTCTTTATATTTCTTTAAGGTGGATATATTTTTTATGTATATATTTTTAATTATAAAATCAAATAACCTTAAATACATTAACTTTTTATATATAAATAAATATTTTTATATATTTTAAAAAAACAATGTAACAATCTTGAATAATATTTATACTTATTCTGTTATTTTATATGTAAAATATTCTAATTTTTATATAAAATTGTAGACTTTAAAGGAATATGAAATATATGTTAAAATTTGATACCTTAAAAAGATTCAACATTTTTTTTTTTCTATATGATTAGATGTATAAGGACGAAAATATACTAAGTAATATGATTAATAATAAAAGACTTGATTAATAATATAGATTCTATATTTTTATATCTGATTATTAATACATAGTATAATTTTCTATAAATTCAGATTTATAAAACATTATTGTCATTTCTATGTCAAAGTTAATATGTATAGAATCTTCTTTCAGAAAAGAACATGTGTTCAAATATAAATGAAAATATATCTGGGAAATACTTGTTTATAATGAATTAAAACACATATCTTAATTCCATTATGTGCGAACGAATTATATTGCAAAATTTTATTTTATTTTTAAGTTTCATGTATAATATTTTTTTTTCATGTTTTCATAAATATATAAAAATTTTATGCTTTTTTACATATAGTATATTATAGTAATTAAAATTATATATAATTAATGCATCAATTTTTTCTAACGTATTCATAATTTTAAATACCATAAATTATTTATTTAATACAAAATATATATTCAAAATATTTTTTATCTTGGTATTATAAATCCCACTTCTCCTAATAATTTTTTTTATATTTATTAATATAATTAAATTACTAATTCCTAATTTACAATTTTTCGTGTATCTCATTCATGAAAAAAAAAAAAAAAATGAATAGTAATGAATTTTTTTTAAGTGATATCACAGATAACAATATGAATGTATGATATGTTTAAATTTTGTTATCTTCTTGAACAATATGCTTATATTAAAATTTATATTTAATAGGATAATATAACATATTGAATAAATGCGCAATCTAATAATGGTACATTCATATTGTTGTAAGACATATATAATTAAATATACTATTATAAATCATTATAGCACAGAGCACATGTTATTAAAAGCATAAAATTAACGCTAATATGTACTATATCAAGATTATATTTGCTATAAGGAAATCTTTGCAATTTATTATTATTCATAAATATTATATTCCTTGAAATATATATTTATGCATATACATATAAAAAAATAAAAAAATGTAAATTGATTGATTAGCAAGACATGTTTTTATGTATAATGTAGATGGAAAAATATTATTAGCAACAAAAAATTTCATATATATTGTCTTCAATGATTCAATTAATTAAAATATATTTACCTATATCATTACTTATATAATGTTTTTGTAACTTATGCATATCTATATATTACAACATTAACATAAATATAAAGACAAAATGATATATTTAAGAAATATAAAATGTAATAATTTCATAAAAATATATATTTTTTTGTAAGATCGTTTTTATTATTTGATATTTGTAAAATATATCTAATTGAATAATATGTTTACTCTTTATAAACATGTTAGTAATACAGGAATAAATTATATTTCATAAAATAATTATATAAACATTTATTCTAGAAAAAAAACTATCAAATTCTGTTCTAATGTATTTCAAGTAAAATATTATAGTCTTAATATTTTTTATGGAATATATGTAAATATCCCCAAATTTATAAGTAAGAATATATGAACGTATAATAAAATAATATTTTTATTTTCTGCATATATAATTATGTGAGAATACTAAGATGTATTTTTATGTATTTAAAAATATTTTAATCTCTTTTATAATAATATTTATAACGTTAGCTATTTAATAATATATTTTTGTGTGCTTTATTAAATAAATTATATGGATTAAAATACATTGTATATAAAATAACATAATAATTAGTTATTTCTTAATTATCTACAAATTTCAATTTTTTTCTTTTCCTTTGAATAATAAGCAACATCATTAAAATTTACATATATAATTTCATATTTTATGTTTATATCTTATAGTAAAATATTAGCGGACGCACCATGCAATATTAAATGTGACATGGAGACCTAATATTCATGAAATATAATATTATATATAAATTATTTTTATATATATAGTCATCAGAAAAATATTTAACATAAAATAAGATTATAAAGTTTTCTTTTTTAAAATTATTATTATAATCACATTAACTTATTATTAATGTAATTATATTTAACAATATTTATTTATTTCTATGCATATAAATTTGTGTTCATAATATAGCTTTTTAAAGTATACGTGATCATTATAAAAATAAAAAAATAGTTATTCATGCAAAATATATTATCATATTAACAGATAAATATGGAAAAAAAGTTAATTATTTTTAACATGTGGAATAGTTACTATTTTTTCATATTGCTAATACAACCTGTATATTTCATATAAGATATTAAAAGAATAAATTTATTTAATATAAACTCTTATAGAATGTAAACCTGCAATAATATCAATTTATATGACATTTCTTATTATTAGATAAAAAAATGAAATATATTTGTTTTGTATAATATCTTCTTCTGTTCAATGATTTATAATAACAAATAATTATTATACATTTATATATAATGTACAAGTAAGATCACAAGAACACTAATTAATTAAATAATTATCAGGTGATTTTCAAACCTATATAAAATATATTTATAAAATAATATTGTCTTATATAATATTTAGCTATTATCAAAAACAAACTTAATTTATACGTATGACGTCCAAACTAAGTAATTGAAATATATACTTATCTTAATATACTTTACCCATTGAATATGGGGTATCTACATAAAGAATTTTATTTCAATGTGTAAAAAATCATTAAAGTTATGATCTATTATTATTAATAATATTTTCATATTTATATGTTTTATATATCTCATTAATCTATATGAATGATTCATTAATTATCCTTCGTACTTATTATTCTTTGATTCCAACTTCTTAATAACAAATTATATTATAGAATTATGTATTAATATAAATGCATTTTCTAATAAATTACATCATTATATATTAATATTATTAATAGATATTCACAATACAAGATGTATTTTATTTTATCCAATGTACAATAACTTTAAATAAAATAATATTAATATTGAAATAGTTTTTGTTTTTTTATGTATACAATGTCAATTGATATAAGTATTGAAATGTACATTTTATATGCTTCTATAATGATAAATAATAACATATTTTCTTGCATGGATTACTTTAGAAATATATCTATAATATTAGTTAACTTAGATTTACATTAATATGCATATATTCTATAATTTATATGTTTTTTGTTAGTATTTGGATTACAATGATTACGCATTATACAGGACTAAAATCCATAATATTTTGCTCTTTAATGGTAGTCATGGAGATACTGATAAATTTTTTAGTACCCAAGATGTTGCAGTACATATAACACAAATTACTTCTCCTTATTGTTGGATTATAAAAAATTATATTGAGAATGTTAAGAGAAGTGATTTAAATGATAACAATAAATGTGACAATTTTATTAAATACTAGATAAAAACAGAAATTGAAGAAGATAATAAAAATGAAGCTGAACGTATATTTAATTATTTGAAGAAATATGTTAATACTCTTACTTCTGATCAACATGTAAAGAAATGTACTTTTGAATTTGAACGTGAAAATGATATAAATTATGAAAACATAAAAAATCTTTATAATATATATAATGTATATTGTTATATAAATCATATTATGCCATATAATTTGCTGGATGTTAATTTTTGTTACAATATTGAAAGTTTAATTGAAAAATATAATGCTGTCTTAAAAAACCTTAATGTTTTCGAGGATATTGCTTTGCGTAATAAATTATATCATATTAGATGTCTAGTTGAACATAATGCATTGATATTGAAGAAACAGTGCAGAATGGAATTTAATAATGAACATGGTGAAAGTGAATCCGAAACTTATTTGCGTTCTTGCGAGTTAAAAGTATCAAGAGAAAAAAGCATGAAGAAGCGATGGATTTAGAAATACAACATGATCAAGGGCCGAATTTAGAAAAAGATAGTGAAGATATGATCAATTTAAAAAAAGAACATGAACGAACGATGCATTTAGAAAAAGATTTTGTTAAAATTTTTGCTAGAAGAAATATCAATAAAAATATTATAATAACAACAGTTCTTGTTACGATTGTAATAGGAACAATTTTTCTATATTTTTATAGGGTTATTAATAATTTATGTTTGATATAAATATATATTATGCATATTTTTTTATTACATTCAAACAAGAATTATTTCATATATTAAGTATTCTTAAAAATTCATTAATACATCATTTCTATTATTAGTTTAGGGAATCATTGTAAAATGTAGGACTTCGGATTAAAAGGAAAAAAAGAAAGAGAATGAATATTGAAGACAAACTATTCGAATATATAACGTGCAAATATGAAAGTGATGATGGAGATCCTGATGAAAAGAAGTATAACATAACTTATTCTTCTGCTAGATAATTATATAATGCCTATGTGAAAATATAACTCTTCAATTATTAAGTGTATTAAAATTTTTAACAATTAGTTATAACAAGAAATAACTATTAAAAATGTAATATTATATGCATATCGTAAATATTTATAAAAAAAAATATATATATTTTAATACAATATTTCTATTTAGTGCACATAAACATTCTAAAATGTTTATTAAGAAAAATAGTAAAATGTAAAAACTGAACATATATCATCATATAAAAAATCATGTAACGGAAAGTACTCCTTATAATAAATATGGGCAAAAATTATGGAATTATATATATTATACTTATATATATAGTCCTCTATGTTAATACATTAATTACATATATTTCCTTTAGTGATTGTATGTAAAAATGATAAAACATGGAAAAGGAAAATAATACTGTGGCATATGCAATCTAACAAACATAAAGTATTAATGAAATGAAATAGGCACGGATCATATTGTCATTAAGCGTAAATGACAAACATTAAAATATTTTATTAATTTATATAATAACACAAAATTTGCATAATATCATTGATATTAAAAATAAAAATTTTATGTTTTTGACTAGCAATGCATATTTTTTTAACTAAATATACATTTAAATTTTATTTTTTGGAAAGAATATATTCTTCCTTAGTTTCACATATTACCCTAGTAATAGTAGTTTATTCATAATAGGGGTGTATCGTGACATATTTTATTTCATATAATTATTCTTTTATAATATATTATTGTACGAAGAAATTTTTTAATTTTTATTTCGATAATGTTATTAATTCTTGTATAGTATAATTTATTGTGTATAAATAATATGCATTTTATTCATATTATTTCTTATATTTTAAGTAATACTTATTTTTCTTAAACATAAAAAACATTGTTATTCATGATGTCGTAACTACTAAAAATTGAAAAAATTGTTTTTCCTTATACATTTATTCGTTAAAACCTTGGGTAAAAAACATTTATTACATAAATAATACTTAATCATTATTTTTTTAACTTTATATTATTCCAAAAAAAAATACATAATATAATATTTTAATAATTTCTCGCAGTAGAATATAATGCTAAAGATAATATACGTATAATAGCAGAATTAGGTGAAAATACGCATAAGTAAATATGTATAAAATAAAATATAAATAAGTGGTAAATATATAATTTCTGAACTATCACATACTATAAGGTAATGTTGAAAATAATATAACACTTTACCTTATATATATTATACTATTAAGAAATGTAACATATGTAGAGTATTAATATTAATCAAAAAATTATATATATTAATATGAAATATGCCTTATATAATATAATATAACGATAAAGGTAAAACAAAAAATTAAAAAAATATTATTAGATCATATGATTTGTATATTTTATTTTTCTTTAAGTGTTTACTTATTTATGTTATTTTATAAATGCTCTTTAATGAGAATTTGCTGTACACATATTATTGATTATGTGAAGAAGATTTTCATAATAAATTATATTTATATTCACATTAAAATATTAAATAATGTTTATTTTTATTATGTGTTTAAAAGAAAAGCAGTGTCTGCTACATATAAATGCATATTGACTGTTGTAAAAAACATATGCATACTAAAATATGAAAACAAATTTATATTTAGCGAACTCTTAAATTGTACACTATAGAGTTTCATTTTTGAATAGATACTAATAACATGAATATAATATAAAATAAACTGTAAATATAGTAAGCCTAATAGGAAATTAATATATAAATTTTCCAAGAAATATTTAATTCATATTATTGAACACATAAGATATTCCACAATAAAAATTCAAATATGTAATATACCTATTTTATATAAATAATACGATGAACGTATAAATTTAACGTTCATTCAAATTGATAAAATAAACTATAAATATGTTTATACATGATAATTTGTTACTAGGTTACAAATATAAACTATAATTAGGTTTTTTCTAGAAAATAAAAATAGCGCAGAAAATATAGATTATAATATTTGCTCATTAGCAAAATAAAGAAATACATAAATTATATAAATTCATTATTTACAAAAAATTTTAAAACATTATTATTATCTTGCTAAAAAATATATTTTCATCGAAGCCGTAAATTTTGTAATACACGCAACTATATATATATATATATAAAATGTTTACAATTTTATTGTACAAATTAATAATATAGCAAAATATAATTTACACAATTTTTGATAAAATTATTGCATTTAATAAAATATATTTATTGATGTAATTATTTTTTTAAAATTATATTAAAAACTTTATATAAGCATTTTTACATATTCTTTAAGTAAGCGTATACATTAAATGGCACATTTAAAAACAGAATTCATTATAAATTAAAATCAGGAAATAAATAAATATATTCTTTTGACATTTATCTAAAATGCGTATTATTTCAACGTAGTATTCTTTGATATTTTAAATTTATAGAATTATTATAAATATTTATTATGTAGTTAATACCATATCTTTTTTAGTAGTCCAATAAATTTAATTATACATATTAACACTGATACATAATATATCTTATTTTGAATATACGTTATAACATTTGCATTTTTCATCACATGAATGAATGTGAGTTTATTTATAAATTTAATTTTGTTACTTAAATCATTTCTTTTTTATATTCTATATACACTTACTATGGCACTATCAATATAGTGAGTTTCCTATAGCAAAAATATAATTCTACATATTGGTTAAATCTAATCATATTTCCTATTACATGGAAAAAATATGTATAGGTATATCGTGTTTTCAAAATTTTGCTAAATTTGTAAGGTTTTTTAAATACAATATATTAATCTTTTGGAGTTAGTGAACGTGTATATTCATATTAATTTACATTGAACATATATGCTTATTCTAATTATTTTAATTATCAAATCCTTTTCTTATTAATTAATAGTAATATTTGAATAATATATTTATTTTTCAATAAATTTACTGCGCTTTTTAATTAGAATTGATTGGGAATATCTCAAGAATTATTGCTACCTGAAATTTTATATTATAATTTCACAATGGATTATAAAAGATTAAAAGAATTTAATACAGAATATAGATGATTAAAATTCCCTACGTTGATGAAAAGTAGTGTTAAAAGATTTTGTTCGAAAATTCTAAAATATTTAAAAACTAAACTTAAGAATTTAGATAAACATAGTTAAGATTAAATTATCTGTATACTTTTATATTATTGAATATATAAAAGATTAAATATAAATTATGGTTCTATTTATACTACTAATTCTAACCTTTTTTTTGGTGATTTTCATATATCGTATAGTATTCTTGCTGTTGAAGATAAAAATGAGCATAATTGCAACAAATATAATACCAAATATTATCTGATTTCTCAAATTTAAATGGAAAATCAAAACAATTATATAATTACTGTGAAGATTTTTATTATTACAGTAATTCCGATAATAGTTAAGTTTGTGATTGCAAGAAATATAATAGGTATATACAAAACAATGCGGAATTATACGAATGATTTAAAAGATAATGTATATTATCCTATGAAAAAAAATATCTCAAAATTTATAATTTAGCTAAGGAACATCACTCATGAATTGTGTTTTATAATATTCCACATCGTGCGTCAGTTTAAACTGGACAACATTCAGTAAATAAAATCCTTCAGAACGATAAGTTGTAATTATAGCAAAAATTATCAAGTCTTATAACATAAAATCTTATCAAAAAACTCACATATAAATTCGGATTTTGTAAAAATGTTTCTGTTTCCATATAAAGATTAAGAGTTAAAGAGTCACATCTATAAGCCTACAACAAAGTTTGAGAAAATAATTTTTATAGCTATTGCAATATTTATGGATTATAGGCTTTGATAGAAAGTAAATGGTAGTTTCTATATCGTATGCGAGTTTACTGATTTGTTTATAATTTGTATTGATAATTAGGGCATATATAATGGATAAAGAATTAAGTATTTTCTACATAATTCTTATATATCAATGTATACTCCCATAATTATGCTGTTAAGAAATACATTCTGAAAGCAAAAATATTCTTCAAATCATAGAAAAGTAGGTAATAATATATTATTTATTTATGCATTCTTATGGCATAATCTATATTATGAAGGAGAAAAACATTATTAAATATATAAAAGACCTTAATTTTTTTTATATAAAAATAAATAATAATATTTGAAATCATCTCTTCTTAAGAAATAATTATGTTCAAAATTTTTAAATATATTAGATAAATAAAAAATATATGAGTTACTCAACACGTTGAAAATGTACTCATATTATATAATACGATAGAAAGAAGCATAATATTAAGTCAAGTAAAAAAATATATTAGTAGATATAATAAAAAGAATTATTACAAGAATAGATAAATTGATTCTTCATGATAGTAATAGGTTTTAAATATTTTGGAAGATTAACTTTATTCTTTCTTTTCATCATTGTATATTATTTGTCATTTTAGAGACACAAAAAATAATGATATATTTACATTATGCGATGAAATAACTATGAATAATCAATATTAAATTATGTCATTTAATAAAATACCACATAAACCACTGTTTCCTTATAAAAATAAAAATTATATTTATTGTTATATCTGTATTTCTGTGAAAATTTTAGACTATGATACTTCACCAGATGGAATCTTAGATATATTTATTAAATGAAATGTAACATGAATTTTATCTG